TATAAATACTTGTTTCTATGCCTATTTCGTAATAATTTTTCATTGATAAAAGCGTGAACAAAAATACTCAATTAATAATCCATGGGTTAAAATAATCGTATAACATTCAGTTATAATACAAACAGCTTTCAATCATAAAATACCGTTGAGTATCTACTTTAGAAACTAACAGTTTCAAGAATTTATAAATTTCAAGCTATAAGTGACCATGAAGGCTAACTGAAAGGAAAAACTTTTTGGAATTTTAAATCAACTCAGGTTCACCTCGTGTCTTAGTGACGGTATTTAAGAAAATATTTGAGTGTATAAAAATGAAACTCAAGTTGAATTCACAAAGGCAAATGGCCCCAATTAATTCATACAATTATTGAATAGTATAAAATGATGTTTAAGAGATTGGATTATGATTTTAAGACAACCTAACAAAACGATAGAAGAAGTGTGAAAAAGTAGGTCTTGGCGAATCCAGAAAACTAACATTAAGCACATACGGAATGAAATTGCAAATCAAAAATCAATTCCGGTTAAATACTAGTATTTTAAAGATGAAATCATACCAGTTCGCATTTCGCTCGCAAGTAACCATCAAAACATCATTGCAATGCTGGCTTTTAGTGCACAATGGTTAAATTACATTTTCTGATGCGCTGAGCTAATCTATGTGGCTTGGTGTTATCACTTTTATAGTGACGATAGTCGAGAGATTAAAGATTGCCAATGTCAACCGTTAGATTCTCGGTCCATTGTGGGCATATTTTTTTTGTATTCAAACCAAGCAGAAATTGACATGCCCAAATGAACTTGGGTGATGTGTAGAAGCCCACGCAAGTGAGAAAAGTTGTTGACTGCCATCGGAAGAAGGTGGGTCCCAAGGATGGGAGAAGGTGGGTCTCAAGGACGAAAGAAGGTGGGTCTTTGTTACATTTACTACAGCGACCATATAAAGGAGCGCAAACTTGGTATTGGATTCGTGGTAGGAGAGAGACTCCGTCGCAGAGTACTAGCATTCACTCTGGTGGATGAACGTCTCGCCACAATTCGCATCAAAACTAAATTTTGTAACACGTCGTTGATTTGTGCCCATGCCCCGACGAAAGAGACCAAGGATGCTTTCTATGAGCGCCGCACCGCCACGGTGTCAAAAATGTGCTTGGCGCTTCAACGCCAGAGAAAGAAAAAATAGTATATTCGGCACAACTGTCAGAAAAATTCAGCCTCCCCGACCTGAGTTGAAGTTAATCGACTTCGCCGGGCCCAAAATATGGTTATCTGTAGCTTTTGGCTGTCTCCAGATCGAAAATTTCTCAACCAGATCGATTATGTTGTGATAGACGGAAGACATGTATCCAGTGTTCTTGACATGCTTACGTTCCGGGTTCCTAGCATCGACTCGGTTCACTATCTTGTCGCAGCGAAGAAAACGCGCGTACCTTTCTGTATCAAAGAACGCCCGTCAACAAACACAATGAAGGTTCAACGTCGAAATGCTGCAATCACAACAAGCAGCCGAACGGTTATCTACTCGGCTTACACAATTGCTTTCTGAGGGCACTCATCAGGAACTTATTATAAGGGAACTGGGAACCGGCATCTCAAACTCTCTACGTACCGCCTCTACAATTATCTGAAAAAGAACTAGTACTATAAGGAACGTCAAACTGCAGGGGGAGAAAATAGACTGCCTACCTCGCAAACTCGCGATCGACCACAACACTTGCGGGGTGGGAGAGATAACGTGAGCTAAAGAGGAAAGCAAAACGCATTGGCAGGAAAAATAAGAAAGATATCGAAATGCGTGAGTATGAAGAGCTTGAGAAGCTGGCCGAAGATTTATCGTGTGATTTTTTTAACTTGATGCTTGAGAAAATTATAAGAGCTGGAGAGCTGAATACGCAAGGTACAATCTTTAACAAGAGTGTACAACTATTGGCTTACGCCGATGAAATGACCATTATCGGCCTTAAACACCCACACCAATAGTACTGCTTTCTCCAAACTTGGTAAAGAAGCGAATCGAATGGGTCTAGTAGGGACCGAGGAAAAGTCGATATATCTCCCGTCATCAAACAAACAGTCATCAAAATCGCGACTTCGCTCCCAATAATAACGTCAGCCTTGAAATCCCGCACAAAATCACTCTTTCCAACAGCTGCTTCTTTGGACTGAGCAGGCAATTGAAAAGTAAAGTCCTCTCTCGGCGAACGAAAACCAAACTCTACAAGTCGCCCATCATGCGTTAACGATTTATGGTCCTTTTTGCATTGGCAATGGCGAATACCGTCGACAATGAGCTGTACGTATATATATACATGTTTATATGAATAAGTAATTCAAATGTCAGAAAGCTAAAAGCTATACCTAGAAATATGCTAGGGTAATCGGGCATACGATGGAACCTTCTTATTTAACTAGTATAAAGCTAATGCAAACTGGGGCAATTGGCATCACGTAAATCGTCGGCGTATTAAAAATAGAGATGCCAGTTGCATTTAAAATGCTAATTAGTAGCATACTAGTTATACAACTAGTATCTATCCCTGCAAGGACTAGGACTTTTTCTGAAGTTTTTCATTCAAAGATAAGCAAAAATTAAATGAAAGGTATTTTAAAATCAACAGTTATCCTACACTTTTATATAATATTTTTTTTTTTTAATTTCATTTTCGTCATGTCTATATATTCAAGTAAATATTTTGAAAGTTTGGAGTCGATCCGACTATTATTTTGGAAGTTACACGCTTATCTGTAGCGACTCTCAGTGCTTTCAAACCGCTTTTGACACTTAAATCTCGTTTTTCCCAAACCTACCTTTTTTCAAGATTTCTCGGGAACGGCTGAATCGATTAGTCTCTTTCTAGTACTTCATCAAAGCATTTCCATTACCGGTGAAAAGTTTTTTTAATGCACAACTCAAGACCGAAATTATGAAGAAAAATTGAGTTTTTTTGAAAAGCCGCCATTTTGTAATTTTTTTTTTTTGGTTTTTTCTTCGATTAATCACAAGATTACTTAAATGAAACCCATTTGATTTTCAAATGATGCTATTCAGAATTAGAATGGTCACCGAAAAAGCCCTTTTTTGAGAGGGCTCCCTGAAGAATTGCTGTAGCCGCTGCAAGACCTGTTATTTTTTTAAATAAAAAATTGCTAGCTACTCTTCAAAAGTGACATAATGTGAGTAGAAATGCTTAAAATAATGCAGCTAAAAGTTTCTTCGTGAAAAATGTTTAAGAAACCTCATTTTTTAGGTCACCCAAATAGACGTAACCCCTTAAGTAGAAATATTATTTTACAGTGTTGGCTTCGAAAATATGGAAGAGCTGTACTTTTTTTTGACTGAATTAACGTTAGGCTCTAGTACCCGAGTTACCAAAAGTTTGCTCTAATAAGAAAAGTTGATTGATGCATTAGCTGATCGTATTTGTAGTTTTTCCTTATTGCTTTTACTTGGGGAACAAAATTTTGCTTGAAGTGCAAAATTCTCTTAAGAAAATACAAATGGTTAATCAAAAAATTACATAAAACTCCAAATATGTGCTGATCCTTTCCGGTTATCTGGAATGGTGGTGGCAAATGCTATACTAATTAACGAAACGTAAAATATCAGACAGCGTGATGCTCCCTTGATCTATTTAAAGCTTTATATCGCGTGTAGTAGAAAAATTGGGGTTTTAAAAACAAAATCAATTCTATTAGGAGCAAACCACAATTGAATATCCTCGACAGGGAATGTCCACCCCTCCGAATGTATTTCGGACATGAAATAAAGGCTCCTCGTAAAAAAAACCAATAGGCGTTCAGAGCAGGCTCAGTATAAACTGTAGGTCCCTCTATTTGTTGGAAAAACATCCAGACGCAAAACCACAAATGGAAGGAGGAGCTCGGCCAAACATCGCTTCAGCGGTTACAAAGCGTTAATTATATATATATTTATTAAAGTAAGTAAAGATATAAAAAAATGTGTTTTCTATTAAAACACTTTCAAAGTTTTGGTGGTTTGTGGTAAACTTCTTGATGGCTCTCAGTTTATTCTAAGTCGCCTTCGAACGGCCAATTAATTTTTATGAGGAGCTTTTTTGTTTCGTGTCGAATATAAGCTTGGTAGTCTTGACAAGAGGCGATCGCAATTTAAAAAATTGAGTTTCTTTAATTTAGGACCTTTTGGCCTTCAAAGTGGCAGTATGCAAAGTTAACTACACGGTAAATATTACCATTACTTTTTATAGAAAGCACATTAATTTAATTCTTAATACGAGCTAACTTTATCATTTTCTAATTCTCTTCGCATACCGAAAATTACAGTTACAATTCTTTTAGTTTTAAAACTTAGTTTTCATTCCAAACCGTTTAACAACATATAAAAAACCTGTCTGACAAGGTTTTGTGAATGTTGTGCAGTTTTTGTCTTGGAAGGCATAGATCAGAGAATTATAAAACTTTGGATTTTTTTTTTGAGTGAAAAAGCGTTATTAAGGGAAATGAAGGCCAGTAATGTTAGTCCCTTGTAAGGAACAAACCAAATATTCATGAAAATCCTAAGTATTGAGTAGGTGAGTTTTGTACTTTTTCTAAAAAAAAAATGTTTTGAGGTCACAATAAAAAAAATTCACTTCAAGTTGCAAAAAAAGTTAGATTAATGAATACTTTTCTACAACCTTTTTAGATCAAATAGAAGATAACTTATTAATGAAGCTATATAAATTTGATTTGATTAACGGCAACGTTTTCTAAAACTAAAACGAGAAACTCTCTTCAACGTTTTGCCCGAGCCATCAAACCTGCTCGACGCTTGGCCACTAAAACCGCTCTGGCTTCTAGAATTGGCAACAGAAATTTTGAAGACATATCCTTGAATAGTTTTAGATTTAAAAAAAATTATAATTTTTGAAAGCCTTAAATATGTCTGCTACAACGTTCAATCTAAACAACTCTACACTTAATTATTATCCGCACATAAATTTAAAAATGCGGGCAGTTGTAAAAAATGATCACCTACTAACCGATTCGTTTAACATGCACATCCCGATTGAATGACACGCGCGGACCACCACCGTTTGAGATTACTGCCCCTGCTGCCGCCGTCGGTGTTGTCGAAGTTGTTGGCTGTCCAGCAGCAACACTACCACCACCGCCAACACTCGCTTGTGTATTGTGGCCCATTTCTGTGAACGATGTTGCTGTTGCTGTTGCGGCTTGGCCGAATTTCGTTCGTGTTTTCGCTAACGGCTGTGTGATATTCGAATTTGTTGTCGCTGTTGCGGCTAAAGCTTTTGTTGTAAGATTTTTAGATTTTTGTGGCAAGTTTTGATTTTGTACGGCCATTATTAATATGACGTTTCTTTCTTTGTATATTTTCTTGTAGTTGCTGTTGTTTTGGTTGTTTGTTGTTGTTGTAATATTTTATTGCTACTTTTTATTTGACACTGCGCACTCGCATTCGACCAAACACATCACAACAATTTGTGGCTTGATACCTTCGCACTTGTACGTAACTAACTAAAGTCGTAATTAACGGTTACTTGACTCGCGTTACTTCGTTCGCGACGTATTGCTGGGTAATGGCTGTGTCGCACGCGATCTGTCAACTCGTATGGTTCGCTGGGCGGAAAGTACTAAATGTGAATTTTACCAGTTCACTGCATTCGAGGCGATGGCACACGCGAAAGTGTATGTTTGTGTTTGTTTGTATGTACGTATGTAGTTATGAAGTTATGTATGTACTCGAATTGGCAAGATTGAGCGGCGGAGTTTTCGTTTTCGTTATTGCTTTTGTGTTTGTTTTATTTTTATTATCGTTCGTTTACACTTTCATTTACGTGCCTTTTGAGGCCATTTGATGCATCCGTTTCCTATTTCACTTTTATTTCTTTCTAATATCTTTCTTCCGACTAGTTGTTTTCCCTCAATGTGTTTAGTTGCACACTCGATTTCGGTCGTCTTTCCTCACTTGTGGGCTTGTATTGGTAAAAGTAGCTGGAGAGCTCGCTATTTGGCTATACTTTTTCCTTCAATAATAATTAACTCTCACCTATGGGTGGATATGCGTTTTAGACTTTTCAGCTTTTCATCTTTTTTTATTGTTTTTTTTTTTAATATTTTTAATTTGTTTACTCTAATGTGAGAGCAAAAAAAAATTATTGGAACTGTGCCGTTACTTTTCGCCTTTCACGTCAGCTGCTGTGACTTCATCGTGTGATTATTATCGATTAATTGATCGATTGCTTGCTTGGATTGTTTGATTGTAAGCCGTTAACTGGGCTCGTGGGTACAGAGTTGTCGAAGGCTGAAATTTAGAAAATAAATTTCAACTTTATGTTTCTATTTTCATGTTTTCTTTCTCATTTCAAATATATTTCAGTGAATTTATTTTTATTTTAATTCATAAATGTTGTTAGCGTTACTTGTTGATTCGTAAAGACGGTGAGTAATACAGTTGAAATTTATTAATGTTATTTTCTATTGCTGTTGGTGAATTGAATTAGGTGACTGAGTGAGTGGGTGAGCGAATCCATGTTACTAGTACTATCACAATCCGCTTAAGCAAAGCACATTAGTTTGTATTGTGGAGCGCATGCGTGCGCACCTCGCCATACATTAGCTCATACATTCATATATTGTACAAAACATATGTTAAGTTGCAAATGAGACGGTGAAGTGTAATGATATGAATTAGTTTTGTGGCTTAATTAAGGTTCTCTTCTTTCCTTTTCCGGTGTTTACTAATATTTGAACATCATTTCCGTTGACGACTTAATTATAATGATTTTGTATTTATTATTATTACTTCTGTTTATACATGTTTTATCCAGCACTGGGTTAAGCGAAAAGCATTAGAGTCTCAATTGATGGCTTATGATTCATTTTTTATTATTTTTTTTTTAATTTCGAAGCGTTTTTATTAGTTTTAAAGTATTTATTCCCCTTTGAAAGTATTTATATAACAATGCTTCTTTTGCATGCAGCCAACTTTTGTTATAATTATTTTTTTTTTTTTGTTGTTGTTAGATTTGTTTATTGCAATATTTGATGTAGATTAACGTTTATATTGGTTTTTATTTTGATTAGCTTATGTTCGTTATGTTTTTATTGTAAAAGGTTTGCGAATAGAATAGTGATGCCATACAGAGAGAGATTAAGTTAATTATTGTAGAGTTATTTTTTAGTAAACGAATAGTATAGTGAGTAAGAAGTATTACAGAGCAAAGAAAGTGTGAAGAGTTTATTTTGTTCAAAAAATAAGAAATGACAATAAAAATATATATAAATAAATAATATTAAATATATATATATATATATATATATATATAATATAAAAATAAAATAAAATAATTAAGAAGTGTATTTATAATAATTTTTGTATTATTTACTTGTAAAGAAATAAATAAATTAATTAATAAAATTTTAAAAATAATCATTTTCAGACTATAAAGCGTAGTTGATAATGAAAGTTTTGTAGTCAAACGTTAATGACTCAATTCGAATGCATCAGACCAACGTTCTCTTCATAAAATAATCGCGCCACCAGCCTCTTAACCTCTTCAAGCCCCTCTGAATTCGAGTTGGTTGAAGTCTCTAGGGACGGCAACCTTTGGAGACTTGAGCGAGATATCGGGATGTGATCATTTGGATCCTCAGTGGTATCGCAATGGAGCCGCTTGTGACCTAGGTGAGCCGATACCCGACAGCCACTTCAGCCATCCAACCATGCAACTCACTATAACTGTCACATCAACCAAGTAAATTGAATCGAGATTTTTTAATAAATTTCTTAAAATTTCTTTACTGACTCCACAGATCGGTCGAAAATACAACGCCTGTTATATGTCAGCTGCTTTGGGTAGGATTTTAGTTTTCATTAAAAGTAGTACACCCACCAAGTTTGGAAAGCAAAAATGCAGTTATTTGTGGAGAAAAGGTGTAGTTGTTGCTCGATCGGGTCCATATTTAAATAGTGTACTTGCTAGACTTTGGGAATTACTACCATCAAATTTCATCGAATTTTATTTCGTTTCGGTTTCTAATACATATACACCTTTTGGTCCGCCCCTCATCCATTCAAGGTAATTGTACCTAGCAAATGTGGCTTTAATTACAAATTTAGTTACTGAATTGTTGCCATTTTCTTTCCCTTTAAAACAACCATTAACCATTTACGCGATTTTACCCACTAGATCTCCCCAATGTGGCCGCTGTGTCAACTCAAATAAAATAAACTCAGTGATATTTACAAGGGGGTTATGAAGCCACCAGCATAGCACGGTGTTCAACTAAGCCTGGTGACAGACACCAAATTTCTGAGAGTCATTTTCGACAAGAAGCTAAAATGAAAATATACAAGAACGCTGCTACTACTTCTACACGTGAAAAAGAGCAATAGATAAGAGATTAGGTCTAAGCGCCAGTATTTGCCGATGGATCTACGTTTTAGTAGCAAGACCAAACTTCCTTTACTGGGCGATTGTTTGGAGACTAGATATGGATTAAGCTTCAAATGATAACTTCATAGATAATATTCAATAATGTGCCTCATGTGTATCATTGGCGCACTGAGGAACATGCCAAGTGAGGTTCTAAATATAATACTCAAGATCTTGCCACTGGACTTGCTGGTATATCAGTGGGCAGTAATGTCTGCACTTCGTCTAAGAGAGTCAAATCAATGGGCCACTCAGCCATGGGGATACTCGACAAGGAATACAGATCGATGCGGTCCAATTATAATAACTCATAACTGCTTAAGAACACGAACTCCCAACAGAGAGGACTGGATAGATAATTACCACACTCCAAGTGATCTGCACGGGCAGATCAAATCTTGAGGGGAGAGTTGGGGGAAGTGTCTTCTCATGTTTTCCAAGTGAAGATATCAGCTAGCATAAAGGCTGTAAGGTAAATCAGAGCCAGGTTTAAAGATAAGGATATCTTCTTTTTCAATGACAGTCAGGCAGCAATAAAAGCACTTGGCACTTATTAGACAAGGTACGACCAAGAGCAGAGGAACTTAAATATGAACAAGTCGCGTCGAGGTGGAAGGAAACAACAAACTGCCCCCCCAACATACACACACTGGCATTACCGGCCCCAATGGGACAAGAAGAGATCATTTGATTTATTGTACTATATACTGCTTTAAAGTAATATTAGTTCCGGCAGGACACACAATCAGTCATGGCTAAGTCGATTCGTCTACCTTTCCATGAAAATGGCTATACAGGGTTCACGGCTGAAGAGTGAAAGTTTTCTCTGCAAAAACATGGTATTTCACATAGACCCACAAAAAAATTCCAACTGTGTAAAATCGCACAATCTCGGTGGAAAGTTCATTTTCTCAAGGCGAGAGATTACACGGCCGAGAAATTTCTTTCGCAATAAAGCCAAATTTGCTTGTTTTGTATGGCATGCGGCACTTTCTTGTTAAGACCACACATTGACCGCGTGGCGGTCTTGAATTGCATGCCAAAAAAATGGCGGTAATGAGTGTACACGGCGTTGTGTACAGTCAGTTGGCTTCAGTTGCTGCAGCTCTTACAGTAGCGATATTGAAGGTGAAACGAGCAAAACGATTATGCACAGAGCTTCTTACAATATCTGTAACCGATACTAGTACTAGTCTTTACAAATTTCTTTAAACATTATCAATACCTTGAGTAGTTGGACGATTATGTGCACCATAATACATATTACTCAATATTTTATTAAAAAAAATATATGATATTCTGTAAGTCTCTCTTTGTTTTCTGCTTTGAATATCCAAAATTCCACGTAGCAATAATTTAAAGGTAGTTTCATTCTCTCTTCGCAGTCTACTTCATAGTAAACTGACGTTAAAAGTTTTTCACGATTTCCAGAGAATTTAAATGATTTTAAAAAGTATAAACATCAAAAAAACACATCTTGCATTGTATTTTCCAAAACCTGCTAGTGGACTTCATGGAATAAATACATTTCCTGATTGGTGTATTCCGACTTTAGCAAGTTGTAAGAGATTATCAGAGAGAGAGAGAGAGAGAAGAGATTGATTCACCAAAATTTGAACCGAATTCAAGAAGATCAGGAGCTGACTGGATTTGCAAAATCCTGCTGTGCATTTGAATACTATCTTTCTTTCTATCACCTTTAGAGATATTTCAAGAAAACTACGTAAACAGACAAGATATTTCGTTATAAGTCGCCTATGTCGAATAAATTTCCCAATACCGCTAAATATATTGAAATTTGAAAATCTATGTAGTAAGTTTTTTAGTTAAAAAGGTTGCTTAACACTTAGGCCTACGGGCCTGTTGTGATAGGTATATTGGTCCAGTGAAGGAGATTTTTCTGACATTTCCAGGTGCTTAAACCACTTGGTGTATTTTACGAAGTTCGGTTGACAACTGATCGAACTGAAAGCTGAGCAGCGGCAGAGGTAATCTTTCACCGCTTCCTACCTCTCTATGCAGCTGCGACAAAATCTCAACAATATTGAGTTATTAAGTCGGTTACTATGCTGATGGAGAAGCTGCTTATAAAGAGCAAGTTCTCTTTGCCAAGCCAAAAAGTATACTCGAGCAAAGCTTACCGAGTTTACCAGTGCCCTATCTGGCCAGCTTATTGATCACGCAGTTCTCTGAAATATCTCTATGACCAGGAAGCCAAACCACGCACGTTTCGCATACAGTCAAAAAAAAACAAGAAAAATGTTAATAAAAAGTATTGAGTAAATTAGAAGAATAAGAAAATTAAGCTCAGCTTTTTTTATTTTCAATTAATTTTCTCCAACTTTTTGGATGTTACTACGACACCAGGATTTGAACCCGAACTTTTCGATTGGCAGTCCGCAATGCTAACTGCTCGGCTACCGCGGTCGCCAAAACATCCATACCTTTATTCTACATTGAAGCTTTTTCTCAGAAAACAACCCCAAGAGTAATTAAAAAATCTCCAAGTTGAATGTCTTTAAGTGGCAATATCAATCGATTTCGAGCAAAATCGTTCAGAGTCAAAAATTTCAAAGTGAAACTACTTTATAGAATAAACTACAATAGAACAAACTAAATATGCTTCGCCCTTATAAAATTTGTTTCTTATGTCTTTCTTCAATTTTGTGTCTTTTATTTATTTTATTTATACAAACCATTATCTGTCTCTTAAGCGCTTTATTTGTGTTTAGTTCCTGTTCGAAATGTCGACATTTCTCATAAACAATTTGCGATGAAAACAATCAAAATAATTGCTGTCAATGAAATATGAGCTATCCAGTTGGAAAATAAATTCAAACTGATTTTAGTAGCAATTAAATGCACT